CATCTACGTATATAATTAGAGTTATGTAGCTTTTATCCGCAAAAATGCACCACCTTTCATGCCTTGCTGCTTGTCTTCTCACTTGAATGTCAAGAAACTTCCCAAAAAGGGCTTCCTGTTCTATGCACTACCTAAAAATGCTTATTAGTGTCATTTAATATCTGCACAAACCTTCAAGAACGTTCAAAAAGTTGAACACTGTTCAACTTTTTGGCGACCTCACCAACCGACCAACATGGGGAGCAAACTTTCAAAACCTTACAAATGCCTCCACCCGAAAACACGTGTCAAATACCCGGTTCCCACCACCACCGACAGAGATCGTAAAAATGCGTGCTGTGATTTTGCCGATCTTGCCGGTTTTCTCCCGTTATTTTACTTTACGATGTTGAACGGTCGTAGTGGGAACGCGGCATAAGAGTTTAATGAACATTTTGGCTGATAATATTCGTACACGTGGGATCCGTTGTGTTCCTACCTTCATGAAGTTTCTCGCAACGGCGCTGTGGAGTATATATATTACTGTATGCCTGGCCTATTCAAATACATTAGCCTGAGGGGTGTGGTAATAACTGGTGTAAGCAAGTGACCACGGTCAAAAACGAATTACCAAGTCAACATTTTGGGATGTCCTCGTTCAAAAAACAGCCAAGAGCTTCGGTCTAGACAATTATTTTATCGTTGGCATACAGTAAAATACATACCAAACTCGGCCGGTGATAAATTTTCAAGACCTCAGTCCTTACTGATTTTTGAACTCGGCCTTCGGCCTCGTTCAAAAATTCAGTTAGGACCTCGGTCTTGAAAATTTATTTACACCGGCCTCGTTCAGTATTATATAATACTGGAGGCCGGTGTAAATAAATTTTCAAGACCGAGGTCCTTACTGAATTTTTGAACGAGGCCGAGTTCAAAAATCAGTAAGGACTGAGGTCTTGAAAATTTATCACCGGCCGAGTTTGGTATGTATTTTACTGTATGCCAACGATGAAATAATTGTCTAGACCGAAGCTCTTACCCGTTTTTTGAACGAGGCCATCCCAAAATGTTGACTTGGTAATTCGTTTTTGACCGTGGTCACTTTGCTTACACCAGTTATTACCACACCCCTCAGGCTAATGTATTTGAATAGGCCAGGCATACAGTAATAAGATGAACTGTTGCTGAGTAAGAGTTTTACTGTATGCCTGGCCTATTCAAATACATTATCCAAAGGGGTGTGGTAATAACGGGTGTAAGCAAATTGACCACGGTCAAAAATGCATTACCAGAATGCACTTAAGCCCCTGCTTAAGCCAACATTTTGGGATGGTCTCGTTCCTAAGTCGGATAAGAGCTTCGGTCCAGAAAATAAATTTATCGTTGGCATACAGTAAAATACATACCAAACTCGGCCGGTGATAAATTTTCGAGACCTCAGTCCTTACTGATTTTTGAACTCGGCCTTCGGCCTCGTTCAAAAATGACCTCGGTCTTGAAAATTTATTTACACCGGCCTCGTTCAGTATTATATAGAACTGTTGCTTATGATAACGACTTGTAACAATACGAAGTTCCTTGCCTTCAAATGAGCGTTCTATAATGAGGAAGCACCATTGACCATCATCATTATTGTTTTGGCTCGCAGTTTGCTCGAGCGTCTAAACGAGCTGAAATGCCCAGTTCTAAGGGCAAAGGCCCAAATTCGTTGTGTGATGTAACTGCAGTTGTATTTTATTCTTCGAATTTCACATTAAACTTTTAGTAAGGGTCGGAGCGCGAACGCAACCTACCCCGCTAACAAAAATTGTACTCCCGAGTTATCCACATTTGGGATAATCGCAGGGGTCAACCCAACCGAAGTGCAATGGAAGGGCCTCGCCCTGGGGGAACCGCCTTCATGATCACGGTATCCCCTGAGCCAGGTAAGTATGAGTTCTCGAAGCCGAAAGTCGGTGATATATCCCATAACCAGTGACGAGTTACTCTTTCCAAAGACGTTTAAAACCGAAAGCACAGCGCCGCATCGAAGAAATGCAAGATACGCGAATGCCGCTTTCGCCACTGACCTGTAGGCACACATCGCATACCCACTTTATTATAGTAACATAATTTGCCTTTGAACATATCCTGCAATATACCTGCGAAATTTCTCAGGCATCAAAACCGCCCTCTCGTGAGTGAAGCATAAGTTAAAGTCCGTACGAAGATCAAACATATTTACAGCATCATGTATCATGTCCATGCAAAGGACATGGGGGTGACAGTTTACTGCCGGGATGATGGTGCAAATGCGTAGTAATACCTCGTCCGAAAATGGACATGCTTAGACATACAATGTAAAGCATCACAACACGACAAAATAAAGACAAGTATCGGCTGGGGGGGGGGGACTGAAGTGCTGCCATCTGTCGGACGCCACCAGCGCCACCAGACGTCCTACCACTTATTGCCCGTGGCGTCCTGATGCGCCGGCTCCAGCTGCCCTCCCCGCCACCAGCTGGAGCCGCTGCTTGCTCCCGAGAGCAGACTGGTGTTATCCGTGATTGAATCGATTGGATTGAATCAAACAAAATTTGTTGAATTAAAAAAGGTTTGTTTTACCGTCAGGATGGTTCGATTCACAAGCCATGATTGAACCAAACGCATTGGAAAAAATTGGTGATTGAATTAAAGAAAATATTAATGATTTATGAACTTTTAAAAAGTGAGGCTACTCAACAAATGTTAACTCTACCGTTATGTGATAATTGCATGACAACAAAAAGAACACAACAAATACAACTATCTCTGAATCAGGGATTTTTTTTAATCGAATCGATAAAAAATCGTTCAATAACTTTCTCTGTATCAGGGATTTCTTTAATCGAATCGATAAAAAATCGTTCAATAACTTTTTAGCTGAATCAAACGTGTATCATTCCTTTTTTTGGATTTTTGATTCTCTGAATCAAAAGGAATCAATTCACCATTTTTGAAGGAATTTAACAGTGGCGGCGGAACACTTTCAATTAAGGGGGGGGGGGGGCACCGGGCACTGCCGACTTTTGGTCCCATCCTTTCCATGCAACGCCCTTAGGGCTAATATTAAAATGCCAAAACCAAAGTGGCACACGGTGCCCCCACCCGGTTCCGCCACCTATGGAATTGAACGGTGATGAAAGAAAATCAAATGAATCAATGATTGAATCAATCTAAAAAAAGGTGAAGCAATAACCAGTCTGCCCGATAGCGCTGAATGGGACGCCGGGGGCGCTCCAGTTGTACGGCAAGTTGTTAACGGAAGAAAATGTCGCAACATAAACCCTCACAAGTCACAACCAGGGCACAGTTTACTATATTGAAGCGATGACATCCATTACGAATTCCCAGCCGCTCTTATAGACGCCTGCCATCCCTTCCCAGACCATGAATTTTTGAATGTCAAAAAATGTCACAAGGGAAGGACGGAATCTGGGTGCTCATTGCGTTAATTGCCCTACGACACTTCCCCTAGCGGCTGGTCGACGGGCCTCCTCAGTCCTCATCCTGGTCTGGTCTGGTCTGGTCTGGTTTGGATTCTGAGCAATGTCCCAAAATTTGTCGATTTGGGTGGGTAAAGACATCCAAATGAAATTCATTTTCCACTCTCGCCACCAATTTTTAAGAACAATTTTCCACTCCCAACCAAGAAAATCTAGATTTTTTGCCTGTAGAAAGAGCAGTTGTGTGGATTCCCAGCTTAGCATCAAGCATCCTACACCTTAGAATCAAATGCATGCTTTTTGTTGTTTTTCACTCTTTTTGGATCTAATCAAATCAGCAGTTTTTCATCCTCTCTCCCCTCTTTTTGGTGGATAATTTTCCCCTCTGACACCCAAGACAAAACTCAATTTTGGGACACTGATTCTGAGGAAGATGCAGACCCGGTGGATCTCCAGCACCTCTAATCCCTCGCTCGACACCCAGCAGCAGCTGGTCCCCGTTATAGCTGCAGCCTGCATAGTGCATGGTGCGAGTCAATCCCTCCAATTATAAGGACCGCCGGTCAAATGTTAAGATTGCAGGGCATTTGACATAAGTATGATGCCCCAGGGATTGTTGTAAACCTGACCCGTTAAGTGCAAGAGTTGCCAGGAGCACAGCACACTGCAATAATTCACTTACTTAAAGATATTGCAATGAACACGCCTGACGGCGCCTCGTGTTCAGTGAAAGCGGTTCACGTTCACGTGCTTGCATGCCTACTGCCTAGCACCCAAGGCGCTCTCCCAATCATTGCACTGACCTTTCGTCCGTCTGTGTGGGTGCCGACGCTCAACGTGTCACTGTCTTAATCCTGGACCTGTGCTGAAGTCATTCAAAGACTACCGTGTCGCAGTTGTGAGTGACCCGAGCCGAGCGCGCGAGTGACCCGACCCGAGCGCGCGACTGACCCCGGCCGGCCCCGTTCCGGTCAGGTGGAGCGGCTTGGCCTCTGATTGGTTGAGCGGGCCGTTCGCCTCGACTTGACCGGTCAGCTGGGGCCGTGCCGTCACGTGAATGTCCGGCTCCGAATTAGATTGCCGGGAAATCTTGCTAATTGCGAACATTAATCGTGCATATCTCGCGTTTCTCCCAACTGTTAACAGTTCCGTTAATCGTCGTCGGATTTCGTTGCGGCTTACTTTTTGCTTCCTCACCTGTTGTGATCCGGTGATCTAGTTCAGCCAAACTTCGGTAAGTGTTCTTGCATTGTCCTGCTTTCTGGGCTGGTGACAAACCACTTCTATTCCCCTTGATCCACGTTTTTTTTTATTCATCGCTGGTGTCGTGAGTGACTAAATCCAAAAACTGAGAAAAATCGAGTGACTGTACCTTTTTTGAAGGTTTCTAAACAACTTGTCTGAACTTCACGGGAGAACAAATGTGGGGTTTAAAAAAAAGTGTCGATATGTAGGCGGTACATAACGCAGCTTCTTATCTACTCGTATTCGCTCCATTAAAAGTGGTTTGCAAGTATTGTGGCGCGTGATATGTCACAAGGATTTATAAATTGTTGAATTCGGTTGCTCGACAGATTCGAACGAATTTTTTCACTGCTAACATTTTTTATGCTATCCTGATTTTGGCTCATTTGATTATACAGCTTTGGTTGACTAGTTGTCACTTATGAGTTATGTTTTAACTTAAAAGTTTGACTTCTTGTGGCAATGCTTAGGGAAGATGGGGTAAGACGGACCAGCTAAGGATTGAAGTCAAAGATCTTGCTACACTGCTCTGGAACCTCATATTGATTCCTCTCCCTTTTAGCATATGCAAAGGCTGGATTTTAAATTGAAGAAACCTAAATATCGGTTGCTCTTAAAGGAGGAAAAGTCAGAATCTCCGACAAGAAAAAAAAGGCGAGGTAAGACGGACCACCCAGCAGTGTATGTTATCCATTTGTCTGTTACACTTTTGCCCTGTATAGTCTCTCTTGAAAGTATCGCGTCATGGGTTGCGGCGGCTCTGCGAACTATTCCATTCAGTTTGAGGACCCCAGCAGTGAGGTCATGGCCTGTATCATAAAAAGTACGGTGTAACACGATTCTACGACAGCGGTAGGAGAAAAACTGTTATATGACGCAGGCACCAGCGGCTGACAACTGGGTTAAAACAGGTTGAGGCTGACCAGAGGTCATGCTCGTATCGCTCGCCTTGACCCCGTCCCCCGCACCAGGCGGATACCGGCGCCGCTAGGGTTCACCAGCCGAGCGCTCATTGGTCTGCCTTAGTGGGCGCCAATCACTCGTGTGCGTGACGCGTAAAATCACAACGAAGCAAAGTTCCGCCATAATCCTACCGTGAAGAGACCTTCTGAACGACGTAAACAGGTCATGAGAGGGGGGCAGCCCGGCATCAAATAGGATTTTTAAAAAGAAGACAGCAGAACGGTAATTTTTTTTGTCGCCGTTCACTAATCGGCTCGTTAAAAAAGAGAACTTCAATTATGGGACTAATTGGCTAGAGAGAGATTTTTTTGTGATTTGAATCCGCTCGCGGGTGCATCTGCAACCACGGATGCATTCTGTTAGCGGGCACAACTGTTGATTTTTTTTTCGTATTCAGGCACGGGTTTCCGGATTTTACTAAAAACCTGTGACTCGTGCCGATGACGGGTCAAATTCTTAACCTTGCAACCAAGCAAATCTCAACAAAATCTCGCGAATAGGGTGGCTTCCGTTGACCACATGCCTGTTGCCATCACAAGTTACCGGACGGCGACTGCTACCTTCCCCTATCCCTCCGCAGGCCGCAACCACTCCCCTCGCCCCCGCCGCGCTCGCGCTGGCTGACTCTGCGTGCCAGGCTTCGGTCAATCGGTCAGTGCTACCAGCGGCTCTCAAACTTTTCCGCCCAACGGCGGCTGGAACAGGTGGCGCCTTCGCTCAGAGTCGCGATGCTTTCAAGAGAGACTATACCTACTCTTGTAAGTAGAAGTGCTCCGAGTGGCAGAATAACATATAAACTCTACCCATCGTTCGTGGTGACTGGTGGGAGTGCAATTACTGGCTAGGATATTGTGTGTTGATTGTCGTGTGGCTTGAGTGTATGCTAGCTCAGCACTTCGTCTGGCATGAATGCATGCTAGCGCAGCACAGCATGACTCACATGCAACAAAGGCTTTCTTTCCTGAATGAAACAGTTTATTCCAAAGTCCAAACTCACGTCAAGTCAAGTAATATTTTTCACAGGCGGGGTAGAAGGGGCCACCACTGGGTAAGATGGGCCCTAGTGGTCCGTCTTACACCACATCAAATTTGTCATTATCATTACACATTTGTTCGATAGCCCAACATTGCGAAACCTTGCCTGTCTGAAGTCTGAATGTGTAATTTTTTTCAGTAAGGGGCAATTAAAATTATTCTTGCAAGAAAAGTGCCTTAATTGAATTGTCCTTCAACATCTTACATTAGAACAGTTTGGCAAGAAAAAATCTACCTAAAATATCCATGCGTCCTGGCCCCATTAGCTCAAGGTGGCCATTTGCGCGATGGAAAACAAAGGCATAGTTCGTTTATTTTAAGTTTGCCCCTCACTGTAAACGTACTGAGAAAATTTGTTGGCGCACATTGTATTGGAGATTTAAATGATATTTTCAAAATAAGTTTTGAACACCAACGATGTAACGTTAATGTTAAACGCCGTGCAATTTATTAATTAGTTCAGACATAATTCCTGAGAAGTCGTTAATCACTGTGGAGCTGTAGGTATGGGCAAATACGAGCTATGAGTCAGTGAAATAGCAAAGAAATTTGATGACATTGGTCGTCTGTGAAATCTGGTGAAATCAATGTGCGTCAACCAGTTTTATCAGTAATTCAGCTAGCAAATCTCTTGCTGTGTTCAAATACATAGACGTTTATGCCTGAAACAGACTCTTTCCGCAGTCAGGAAATCGCATGCGAGAGCCTTTTCAAATACATGGAAGCACGCTCGCATCAATCGCACGCACCTCCCGGATGCGATTGATGCGGGAAGAATTATAATGTATTTGAATAGGCTCTCGCATGCGATCTCCTGAACGCGGAAAGAGTCTGTTTCAGCCTTAACAGTGAGGGGCAAACTTAACCCTCGCCGGCCAGGGGGGGGGGGGGGGGGGCGGCACCTCATAGGGTTTTTTTCTCGCGATAGCTCCGAACAGGCTGGCAATAGAGAGCTGAAACTTGGCATACCTGACCTTTGATTCAAGCCGGATCTTTTGACACCAACCGCATTTTTGCGTCAGGTCAGGTCACTGACCTATGACGTCATAAGTAAACCTCTGCACGGTCACTTACATAGACGTACATAACTTACATAACCTCATTACTTACTTAACCTCATAACCTTACATAACCTCATTACTTCGCAACGCCCTCACTGGCAGAGGAGATGTCACAGGGAAATGAAACTTACAGGATCTAGTATCCATTATGGGTCTCACAACTTGTATATCTCGGATTTTTCCTAAAGGTCATATGAGGTCAGGTCATTTTCGTGACCTCACCATTATAAGTCAATGGGGAAAAATGAAAACTGCTATTCTGGCGCCGGGAACGATCTCCCAACTATCTCAAGCACACAAAATGGTGATTTGATGCACTCCTTGCAAGGTTAGATGCGTTACTTTTGCAATGTTGACCTTGCTGACGTCATTTATGACATCATCAAGGTCATATTAGTTTTTCGTCAATAACTCTTGATCAAATTGAGCTAGCGAGTCGGGAAAGCCACCAATGGAATCAGGAAGACGAAGACCTGCCGAATCGAATGATATGCGTCATGACCTCTTGCGACCAACTTCGTGACCTAGGGGTGCTGACCTGACCTTGACCTGAGGTCAACACCCTAAATTGACCTGACCCGAACAAAATGTATATCATTCGACGCGCCTGAGCCAGGCGAACACGATGCTGCCAAAATCGCGGCTCTGTGGCCGTTTTTTTGCGAAGTTATTCACCAAAAACTGAACCGTAACTTGGGGCACTTGACCTGACCTCGGAGGTCACCGGTTGACCTAGGACCTTAAAATCGGGTACCAATCTCTGTGTCTCGTATCGGCGCACACGCTCGTTTTTCCGCGACGCGCTAGCTCCACCAGGGGCGAAACGGCGAGGGGGTCGTACCCGCCCCCCCCCCCCTCGGCCGGCGCGTATGTAGAAAACCAATAGGTCCGGCGAGGGTTAAAGTAAACGAACTATAGTTCAAGTTTTTTTCTAAGTTCGACCCTCACTGTAAACGCCTCTTTGAACACAGCATGAGAATTGTGTGAAAATATGTTTTATCCTACCTACTTGTTTGGATGTGTGGCTCTGAAATCCGATTACTCTCTCAGCACCAGTCCGACTCTCCATCGCCTCAGACTCCGCTCACCACAGCCCCAGAGACAGCGTTTACACATAGAGGTGTTATTATTGAGGATAGGGAAACACAGATCCACACTCACTACTGATCTCATACTCTCCTCTCCACTACTCTCCTCTAATCCCAACCAGCGCGCCATAGCCAGCGCGGCTGGTTGAGCCCGTGTACTTACATCTCAAGCACTGTCCCTGACACTGTGCACGCCAGACACAATCACTGCGAGCGCCCAGCGGCCGTCGGGGTCTCGGCCGACCGGTCGAGATGACCGGAGACTGCGCCTGGAGTCTGGTGACCCGAGACTGGAACTGGAACTGTAGACTCCCTGCTGGAGTCTCCGACTGGAGCCTCCCCACTGGAGACGACTCCCTCTCTAGTAGTGGTGACTGGAGACCACCCTCTCGATCCGCCGAGCACACGCTTTATATACGGCGGCGCCACGGCCAGCCTCGCCCCCTCCCCAGTTCGCCGTCGGGAGGAGGCCCACGTGACACCACCGTCGAGCTGAGCTGGTCCAGGGCGGGGTCGCCTCAGGCCCTCGGCACCCCCGCCCCGTACGTCCCCACCCCGGGCGCTCCTCGTCGGCCGTGACTCGCCCCACCGCGCGGGCTGGCTGCACCGCTGCCCCGGGCGCCGTCGCCGGGCTGCCGTGCCCTTGGTCCACTTTGCCAGGGTCGGCTGGTCCTGAGCCGGCTCCGGCGAGCTGCGGCTTTGCCTCCGGCGTCGCCGTCAGGCCGACCCAGCCTTGGCTGCTCGTTCCGGGTGCTGGCGGCCCCGCGGCTCGGAGTGGCGATGTGAGGGCTGGCCGGTATCTCCAGTTTTCCACATCCCTTCCACCAATATGAAGAACAAATGATTGTCGCCATAGGGGGAGGGAATGAGGTAGATCTGCGTTCTGCCGGCATACGAGACACAGTCAGCACCGATCAAACACACTTGGGCAGAGACATTTGGTCGAGAAAAAGGCCCCTGATTCTTTATGCTCCCTGACTGTCATCTGCTGCTGCATAGCCCGGTTATGGAATCAATGTAGAAATTTCTCTCCAGTTATCAGAGCCAGTTACTGCACATCACGACACGACCAGGATAAGACATGACTGTCGGCTGGAAAGGAAAAGGAGCCGCCATATTGTGAACAGCTGTGGCCATTTGACTTGGGGCCGTTGCTTACTCAACTCACTGCGCCAGTCTAGTTAGTCTAGTTGTGAGCGTGATCCGTGTGCGCCAGTAGCTCGCCGTTGTCAGTTGGACAGCCAGGAGGACCTGGGAATTACTCAATGTGATAAGAGGATGTCCAGGTTGTCATGCTAAGAGCAGTCCTGCCGCACCGTGCCTTGGACCTGCATAGGGTTGCGTAGTGGAGTTGCCGTGAGCGGAATCGATTCGCACTGCGATATTACGCAGAGCTGAGCCAGACCAGGGTTGAGCTGCTTTGGTGGCCGGCACTCCGTGGTGACGATCTGAGTATGTTGATACCCAAGAACAGCGGTGACGGTTTCGCACGTGACACGAACCACTGGTATGCAATCAGGCAGCCTACGTGGATGACGGGTCTCCGCTCGGGATAGCCGGTAGGCCTCACCGGTTCAGGATATCCGCATAACCCGATTGCGTCTTGAGGAGACCATAAGGCAGGCGCAGCTTGCCATGGGTCAGCAGAAAGCCGATTGACAGATGTCGCAGGTCAGTTTGGCCCGCACTGGCCGTGCAACCTCAAGTGCCTGGGTCTAGTCAGAGATGTACCACACCGCGGTCAATCCACTTTGTATGCCCTCTTTGGTCCTTTTTACGACTACGCGGAACAATGCTCAGCATGACTCAGGGGTTTCAATCGTGATGAACTAGGTAAGGATATGAGGACAAACGACCAACTTGCCTTTTACTGAGAGTGAAATTGGGAGGGACAGGCTTTGTCAACCCTCAACGTCAAGCATTAGCGTTAATCACAGACATTATTTCACAACTAGCCCATTTAATTTCTCCGGGCTCTATTCAATTACGATAAAATTGGCCTTATATTCACGTGGCGGTTTAAAACGGGCATGTCGACAGAGCGGGAGGATACAGGAATGCGAATTGGGCACTCGTGAACTGTTTGTGGATTACGCAGAAGGCTCTGATCATCAGGCAGTTGGACTATTTAATCTCTTTCATGATGGGCCACTTAACTCACTCATTTACTCTCACTGGCTACTTTTATGAATCAACAATTACTGCGCAAACTAGCCGAGTTGCTCAATTGAAACGTAATGCCATTTTCTATCCAATGCCTACCACTTTACAAAAATAGCTTGTTTTAATCAGGGCAATCACCATTGCAGAGATGACAGTCGGAAGCGGTATTTTGAGTAGACTACTGATCAATCCAGCTCAAGATGACTACTGGAATGTAAAAGAATCTGCTCTGAGCTTATTTTCTCGGTCACTATGGACGTCATCTATTTCTACTCTTATTTCTCAGGCAGCTCCTGACATTGAAACCATTATTCAGTCTATATCTGAATAGCTTTAAAGACTAGAGGTCTCGGAACCGATAAGGCGGTCTCCGGACCCGAGTGGACCTCCTCGGTCCGACTGTCAGGACCGGCTCGTCCACAGCCTCGCACAGAGGCTCATTATCGGCGTCTGCAGAGTCCTTTGGAGCGGCGCTGCGACTAGGCAAGGCTCGGTGCGAGCAGTCTCAAGGACTGCGGCCTGCGCTAATACTGCTGTTCCTGTAAAGAGATGTAAGGCGCGCCATCCGACTGGGAGACGTTCCCACTGTATCGCTGTCGGGTGGTATCATGGTCAGTTCAGTTCTCCTGTCAGCTGTCAGCATGGGCTTATAAGCTGTCGGTCCTCCAGTGTTAACGTTGCATGGATAGTCCCTTGAGGACTCCAGGGCTCCTTCCGGTCGTCACCGTGCAGTCACTATCCACAGACACAAATGCCATCGGGTACTATCGGATGTGTCCGCTTCACCTCGCCCGATCTGACCCAGTAGTAAGACGGGAAGACCCTCGGTGACGTTTGATTATAGGCAATTCCTTGAACTTGAGCTGCAGCTTTCAAGTTACAAGAGGAGAGCGCACGACCCCCTAGTTTAACCTTCCCCGGCAGAAGGTAAGGCGCTATTGCACGGACTCCACTGGGCTCCTTTCGGCGTATATACGACTTCACCGAGTCCTGCTTAGCTCCTAAATCAAACGTCCCGGTCACGGAGGAAGCCTCCGGCGAAATATAGTCCTAATGACACATATTTCCCAACGACACACTAGTCCCGATCGGCTCTAACATTCTAACTAACTGCACCTGCAGATAATGACTCACTTAGACATCACTAAATCTGGACGGCAATCCACCAGCCCATCACATCCTGCAATGTCACACCCGCAAACAGCGTCCTGCTGTTGCCGACAGGGCTACAATAACACCTGGTTTCATGTAGAAGCTCCAGGACCACCGACACTGTACTGCTCCCGACCACCATTTTGGACTCGAATTTCACAGCACCACGCTTCCACGACTGATCAGACACCACAGTCGGATGAATGACTGCCAGAGCCACACAAACCGACACCCCTCTTTGAGACAAGACAACACCGGCACAGTTTACGATGTTTCTGATACGGGACCGGCTAGCCACTGTAAGCACAACCTCACCGCCAATCAGGAATCCAGGAGAAAACACTCCCACCAATCACAAAGCCGTTATAAGGCGTCCCAAGGTTACCGTCACTGGGTCAGTCGGCCGCCCAGTCTACACAACGTCGGGACCCGTGAAAGGGAAAGGAACACCTCAGCTGGGGCGGTGCGAGCGGCCGATGGAGACATTTGTCGGACAACAGAAGAAAAAGGTGCTTTAAATTTGAAATTAAACAATCAGCTCAATTAATTTTGAATGGAGACAGTAACAGAACACCAATTCTTTAATTTCTATTAAAATTAGCCACAGCATCCCTAAAATTTAGAAGGTTCGCCGTTCGGTTAAAAACGGAAGCCATTAAATGACAAAGTCAATTCAATAACTCTATCCCACTTCTGACACCAGTGTGAAAATATGTTTTATCCTACCTACTTGTTTGGATGTGTGGCTCTGAAATCCGATTACTCTCTCAGCACCAGTCCGACTCTCCATCGCCTCAGACTCCGCTCACCACAGCCCCAGAGACAGCGTTTACACATAGAGGTGTTATTATTGAGGATAGGGAAACACAGATCCACACTCACTACTGATCTCATACTCTCCTCTCCACTACTCTCCTCTAATCCCAACCAGCGCGCCATAGCCAGCGCGGCTGGTTGAGCCCGTGTACTTACATCTCAAGCACTGTCCCTGACACTGTGCACGCCAGACACAATCACTGCGAGCGCCCAGCGGCCGTCGGGGTCTCGGCCGACCGGTCGAGATGACCGGAGACTGCGCCTGGAGTCTGGTGACCCGAGACTGGAACTGGAACTGTAGACTCCCTGCTGGAGTCTCCGACTGGAGCCTCCCCACTGGAGACGAATCCCTCTCTAGTAGTGGTGACTGGAGACCACCCTCTCGATCCGCCGAGCACACGCTTTATATACGGCGGCGCCACGGCCAGCCTCGCCCCCTCCCCAGTTCGCCGTCGGGAGGAGGCCCACGTGACACCACCGTCGAGCTGAGCTGGTCCAGGGCGGGGTCGCCTCAGGCCCTCGGCACCCCCGCCCCGTACGTCCCCACCCCGGGCGCTCCTCGTCGGCCGTGACTCGCCCCACCGCGCGGGCTGGCTGCACCGCTGCCCCGGGCGCCGTCGCCGGGCTGCCGTGCCCTTGGTCCACTTTGCCAGGGTCGGCTGGTCCTGAGCCGGCTCCGGCGAGCTGCGGCTTTGCCTCCGGCGTCGCCGTCAGGCCGACCCAGCCTTGGCTGCTCGTTCCGGGTGCTGGCGGCCCCGCGGCTCGGAGTGGCGATGTGAGGGCTGGCCGGTATCTCCAGTTTTCCACAATTGCTTGCTGAATTTCTGAGAAAACTAGCTGGCACACATTGATTTCACTTACGATCAACTTTTATCAAAATTATTTGTACCTGTTTCATATTTCTCAGACTCTCAGCTCGTATTTGCCGATATTATAACTCCACAGTCCAGCCATAAAGGCTGGTGGTCCGTCTTGCGCCACTGGGCTGTTATACCCCACCTTCCCCCCCCACATTTTTGTTGCAAATTTGCAATATAGGACGGCTGTGTTAAGTATGACCGCCAACAACAACAAAAGAAAAAATACTGAACTTGACAGCGCTGCATGCTCATCGTTGGGTGGAGCGCCAATGATGTCATTACGGAGCGAGCGAAGCGAGCGTAGTCTTTCCTTAGATTGACGGAAATTTCTGAGTATGAGCGGCCGGCGTCCGCGAGGCTTATATCTCAGCAACCACTTAACCGATTGGCGATTTACATGCGGTAATTTTTGTATGGTAGCTTCATTCTTTCTACCAAGTATTGGACTACCGATGCATGTGGGTGACCCCTTTTGCACGTGCCACATGCAAAACGAAGATGTCAGTTTTGTAATAGTTGCAATATCTCGGTAACTACTTGGCAGATTGCGCTGAAAGTTGGCATGTATGTACTAGGTAGGCACCCACTAGGCAATGCATATCCATGTGCCAGAGTTGGGGTGCTGCTTCACGTGCGCACGTGCAGGGGTCGTTTCCAGATCTAGGGAACGGCTGGACCGATGGCGCTCAAATTTGGTACACGGTTAGGGACCAGTTAGTAGGGTGCCGTGCAAAAGTCAGATGGGACCCATTTTGCACGTGCGCACGTGCAGGGTGTCGCTTCCAGATCTCGAGAACGGCTGGACCGAATGTGCTCAAATTTGGCACATCGCTAGAGACCGGTGAGTAGGGTGCCGTGCATAAGTCAGTTGGAGGTACCCCCTCGAAATTTCGCACGTGCAAGGCTCACCCTCTCGCTCGCCCCGTTAGTTGTTGTGTTTTGACTCCCTCTGCCCCTCATCGGGGCGCAGCCAGGCGGCTCTGGAAGTTGCGGGCGGCGGCCGCCAGGGCCGCCACCACTCTGGTCTCCCGGACCTCCAAGTCCGGATGGATACTGCCGGTGAGTTGTAGGCGGGTCCTCATCAGAGCGGGACAGCGAAGGAGAATGTGGGCCGGCCGGTCCGCCTCCTCGCCGCAGATGGGGCAGCGTGCTCCTGTGGAGTGTGGGCCCCTGCAGAGGTAAACCGGCAGCTCTGGCGCCGCGGTCGGTGCTAGGCAGCGGCGGCGTTCTCCCCTCCCCTCCCCGTCGGGACCCATCCGCGACAGTCCCGGCGTGATTTGGTGTGCCGTCGCGTGAGAAGTGTATTTGTGTTGTTACTTGTTATCGATTGTTGTGTTTATTATTACGTCGCGTACCACGGGGCTGTGATGCTTGTGTGCCTTGTATCGCGTTGGCGGGCGCTCCGCCGGCCGCTGCCCGCGCTCGCTGTAGCGCCGGCCAATCAGAGGGCCGGGCCGGGCGGCTAGCCCCAGGCGCCGGCCGAACTGACCTGGGGTCGGGACTCGGAGCGGCAGTCAGTCGGCTCTCGATCTCTGCGCGGTACGTGCCCGTCCGGACACGTGCTCTCTGAGCTCGGGCGTCGCTCCGGCGATTTGAGGCCGTCCCAATAAGCTAATACTGGTGGTTCGCCCTTGTGGACGACCATTTTGATGCCAGTATTCCCCCTAAATCTAATACGTTTTGCATCTCAACGGAGTATGGTTTCGGCCGTTCGGTCGAACCTACTCGTTAAATTTCCTTAGCAATTTTCCCATAGTTATCCTCTCGTAATCTGGCTTAGCTCCAGTTTAACTCCGGCCATAGCGCCGTTTCACCTCAGGGTTAACACACGACATACAATCGCACGCATCAGCGGGATGCGCTCATGTTCGAAGGCTCGATGCGTCTGACTCGTTCTGAGATTCGTGTCTGTCTTTGCTGGCAAGTGTCTAACCAGCTCATGTCTTGTTCTTGATTTGTCTTGATTTTCGGCACGCATGAGTAAGACTTGTGCGGAGGTTTCTCCGACAAGGTTTCGACAATTTAAGACGTGCCAAGTACAGCTTTGACCTGGCGGTCGCGGTGATCAGTCGGCTAGTCCATTCTCTCAAATGATACAGTCCACTTAAAGCTCTCCACACCCACTTCGACTGCACGTCCCCCGCCACAGTAGGGTGCCAACTCGGGCCACTCTCTGTGGACAGCGGCAGGGCCGCTCCAAGTTTCGACGTGCAGGGCGACCTTTCAACATCAACACGGGGTAGCGGCCACGACAGCTCCATCGCACCGGTCGTCGTTGCATCCCTCACAGTCTCTGGTAGGGGAGCGACCGATCCGGTGTAGGTAGGCTCTTGAGCCTGCCCAGTGGCCCGCGCGGATCTGATGGACTTCTACCGCGCTCTCCCGTTCCAGGCCGGCCGTGGACGGGGGGCGGCGGTCGCCCATCAGAGACTTGAACCAGCCGGCGGGCCAGGACTGGATTGTCTTGTCCCTAGCCATTCTCGCCACGGTACTGGTGATCGTCCTCGTGTCGATGGGCGTCCTTTCTTGAGGGAGCTGGGCTGCTTCCCGGGCCACTCTGTCCGCCTCTTCATTGCCGTGTATGCCACAGTGAGAAGGGACCCACTGGGCCCTGATTTCTCGACCATCTTTGGCTAGCTGCAGTAGAGCTCTCCAGGCCACCGTCCCCAGCGGTGACGTCTCGGCGGCGGGGCCATTCCGCAGGGTCGCCAGTGCCGACATGCTGTCGGAGCAGATGATCAGTGGTAGGTCGCTATCTTTGGTGCGTGATGTTAGGGTCTCCAGGCCCGCAACTAAGGCGAGCATTTCTGCACGGTAACTGGAGCAGAAGTCACTCGCCGGAGCCCTTAGCTCCAGTACCTCCTCATCCGGCCACATGATGACTGCTCCAGCCCCTCCGTTCCTTGTGCCGCCCTCCGCTGACCCGTCCGACCACATCCACACCGCGCACTGTGGTAGGGATGCTAGGTGCTGGGCGGCAGTCCTCTCCTTCTCCTCCGCCGTCGCACCTGTCCTCAGCGGGCCGACGTCCAGTGTGAAGGAGATGCGCGCTCCCTGCTGCTCCCATGGTGGTACTCTCGGTGGGAGAATCGGCTCGATCGGTGCCGAGATCCCTGCATCGGCCCAGGCTTGGCGGCCCAGCGACCTCCATCCTCTGACCGAGGACAGGCGCGCCGGGGCCGCGGCCTCAGCTGTCGCTCGCAGGGGGTCGTTCGGAGGGAGCGCCAGCGCTCTCGTCAGTAGCCGAGCTGCGAGCGTCTGCTTCCTCTCCGCCATCGGGGCGAGCCTCGCCTCCGCCATCAGTGCGTGGCTCGGTGTAGACCTCGGGCACCCCGTCACGATCCGGGCCGCCGCTCGCAGTTCGCGTTCTAGGAGTTCTGCGTGAGAGGGGGCCGCCGCAGGTAGCCAGGCCGCGGCAGCGTGTTCCATGGCTCCTCTCACGTACCCACTGGCTATCGTTCTGAGAATGTCTTCGTCTAGTCCCCAGCTTCGACCCGACAACCGCCTCAGGTGGGCGACGCGGGGGCGGACCTTCTTCCTGACTTTCTTGCAGTGTGCGCCAAATTGAAGACGACGGTCGAGTTCGATCCCGAGGAGGACCAGTGTATCGCTCGCCGACACCGTCTTCCCTGCCACCTTGATGGTGCATCCGACGGAGTCTTTGGCATTCTGCGATAGCACCGATAGCACCAGCATTTGTGTCTTTTCCCCGGCGACTAGCATTTTGTTCCGGTGTGCCCAGGCGACCAGAGCATCCGCGGCCGCCTGTGCCAGACTCTTCGCCAGTTCCATCGTCCCCCCAGAACACAAAACCGCTGTGTCATCCGCATAGATGTAGGGGGAGGCCCCAGGGGCTATGAGGCACTGTGCCAGCCCCGCCGCCCACAACAGAAACAACTGGGGCGACAGGACGCTCCCTTGAGGCAGGCCTGCCCTGAAGATCCTCTCGTTGGACAGAGCTCCCTGGACCTCCACCCTCACTCTCCGGTCGCGCAGCCACCCCCACACCCATTTGACAAGGCACAGGGGCAGGCCGCATTCTAGGAGCCTGAGCCGGAGTAGCTTATGGTCCACCACGTCGTAGGCTCTGCTGAAATCGAAGGCTGTCAGGACGTACTTCTGAGCCGTATCTGCGTCTTGTTTCTTTGATCGCTTGTCTCTCTTCGGTTTCTGCCATCCATCCTGTACATCTTGGACTAGCCGGCCGATGCTATCCTCCGCGGACCGTCCCGCTCTGAACCCCACTTGTTCGGGGGGGGGGACTAGTCCTCGTGCATCAGTCAAGAAGGTCAATCTCGCCAGGACAAGCCGCTCCGCCAGTTTGCTTACGCAACTCGTCAGGGCGATGGGCCGGTAGTTGGCTAGTAGCTTCTTGTCCTTATTTGCTTTCGGAATAGGGACGATTGTAGCCGCTCGCCACTCGCGGGGGACTTCACCAGTCTTCCATGATCGGTTAATGGCCTTCAGGAGAGCACCGCGAGCCACCGGACCCAGGTGTTTGATCATTTCTGGCGTGATGTTGTCCGGGCCGGGAGGCTTGCGGAGTTGAGTCCGTTGAATGGCAAGAACCAACTCCTCCTCAGAGAAGGGGGAGCAGCAGCCGGTGCGGGCGTTCTGACAGTCGGCACAGTTGTAGTGGTCGAACTGCTGGATCCGCCGGCGTGTTGCCCTGTCAATCTTGGGGGCCCGCACCTGTCGGGAGACTTGCGTATTGATGGGCAAAGGCGGTAGTCTTTTCTTCGGCCGTGACAAGCCGTGACAAGAAGCCGGTTGCCGACCCTCATTGCCTCTCCGTCTCTCTGTTCATCGTCCTCTGCTCCCTCCCACTTCTTCAGCAGGCGGGAGACCCGACCCACACTGGTTGATTGGTTCAGCTCTGTACTGACGAAATCCCGGTATGACTGTTGGGTCACACGTTCCGTCACCTCGGCTGCTCGTCGCTTGGCTTCCAACCATCGGGCTTTGGATTCAGGGTCGTGGACTTCTCTTCTCGCTGCTCTGCGCTCCTCCACCGCACGTTGTACTTCTGGGTGAAGAGCCCACGGTTTAGGGTCCCGCCGTGCACCCTTCGGGATATGTGCTTTGCTGGCCGTCTGGAGAGCGGTGGAGAAGCGCGTATACAGCTGTTGTGTTGAGAGCTCCTCAGGTGGGGCCTCCCTGAGGGCTTCCTCACAAGAGTCGCTGAACTTCTTCCAGTCGGCACGGTGGTGAGCCCACCTGGTCTTGCGCCTCCGCTGAAGAGGGTCCGACACTCCACGGATTTCGATCACCATCGGCAGGTGGTCGCTCCCGAGGTCGGGACCCAGCGACCAGCGTGTTCTGACCGCCCGCTCGGGACCGCAGGCCGCCAGGTCCGGCGCAGACTGGCCTCCGGTTCTGTAGCTGATGAGGGTCGGGTCCCCACTATTGAGTGGGCTCCATCCGACATCCTCCAACCAGCAGTCGAGTCTGTCGCCGACAGCGTCCTCCAGGTCGCAGTTACGGTCCCAGGCTGGGTGGTGGGCATTCACATCGCCGACCAGGAGTGTCTGACGGTTGACTGGTAGGCATCGAGGGTCGAATCGGTCTTCACGCTCGTCGTTCGACGCCCTGATGGGTGGGCGGTAGATGTTTATGATGTCGATCGGGGATTGGTCGAGGATTCTGACACCACACACCTCGGTGGAGTCGTCTTCCGCGGCCAGAAAGGGTCCATCCATGACGGCGAAGGTGATGCCGGCGCGCAGGAACACACACACGTCCCCACCCTTCGCCGCCGCGCCAGTTCTTCGGCCTCTCGCACGGCGAACGACCACCGGCGGTTGATATCCCGCGAGTCTCGGAACCGACTTCGGCAGTTGAGCCTCCTGTATCGCAACTACGTCCGCCTGGACGGTCGGGAGCCAGCGTTGGAGTTCTGCCAGTTTAGGGCGGAGTCCCTCCGCATTCCAGGACACTATGGTCAAGTGGCTTCTCTCTCTCTCTCTCTCTCTCTCTCTCTCTCTCTCTCTCTCTCTCTCTCTCTCTCTCTCTCTCTCTCTCTCTCTCTCTCTCTCTCTCTCTCTCTCTCTCTCTTCTGCGCGGTCGCGGACCGCGCCTAAGGCGCGGCCGGCGGGGGCGGGTCGGTGGCGACCTGCACCCGCCCCACTCTCTTCAGGTAGCTGATGATGTGTTGGGCCGGCCCCGAGAGCACTTCCGCCAGGGTCGGACAGTGCCCCCAGAAACCGGCCCTCGCCGCCACGTGTGCAGGGCACCCGGCCAGGAGGTGCTCCACGTCCTCCTCCTCCTCCTCGCCGCAGGCTCGGCAGGTCGGGTCTTCGACCAGGCCGAGGCGATGAGCTGTGGCTCGCACCAGTGGGCAGTAGCCGGTGCGAAGCTGGGACAGGGTGGCCTGGTCCCACCTGTCCAGCTCATCGTGGCTCGGAGTAGGTTCTCGATGTGGGTGCCGCTGCGCCCTTGCGGAGGCCAGCTCCGATGTCCAGCGACGGATGGCTGTCCGCGCGCTGGAGAGGTCGATCGGGGCCACCTCTTGAGTGCAGTCGGCGGCGGCTTGATTGGCGAGGCGGTCGGCTGCCTCGTTGCCGGCGAAGTCGGCGTGGCCCGGGACCCAGTGCAGGGTGATGTCCTTCCCTCCGGCTGTCAGCGCGTCTATTAGGCCCCAGACCGGCAGTGTCCCAAAATTGAGTTTTGTCTTGGGTGTCAGAGGGGAAAATTACCCACCAAAAAGAGGGGAGAGAGTGGAAAACTGCTGATTCGATTAGATCAAAAAGGAGTGAGAAATGACAAAAAGCATGCATTTTATTCTAGGGTGTAGAATGTTTGATGCTAACTGGGCATCCACACAACTGTCTTTCTATAGGTAAAAATCTATGTTTTCTTGGTTGGGACTTGGGAGTGGAAAATTGTTCTTAAAAATGGTGGTGAGAGTGGAAAATGAATTTCATTTGGATGTCGTTTCCCACCCAAATAGACAAATTTTGGGACATTGCCCAGACGCGCTGGCCGATGGCCGACTGTTGGTCATCCGGGCCGCGGCTAAGTAGCTGGAGCCCCGACCGGGAGTCTGTGCAGAGCAGCGCTCTCTTGATGAGTGCTTTAGAGGGGGCCGGTAGCTCATGGAGACACGTCAGGGCCTCCGTCATTGCCACCAGCTCCGCCCTCATACTGCTGCACACTCGACCGGCCGGTGTCACGCACTCTATTGTGCGTCCCTCGCGGTGAAGCTCCAGGATCGCTCCACCGCCGCTTTGGATGGTGCCTTCCTTGGCGGATCCGTCCGATCGAGGGCCAGCGCCGCTAACGCCGCCTCCTTTCTCCTTTCCGGCAGGTCTGTCCTCCTTGTGGGCTGCGGCAGGTCCAGCACGAAACGGACGGCGTCTCCACAGTGCCGTGGTGCCAGGGTGGTGCGCCCTGGTAAAGTGCCAGGGGCTCCACTGGGAGGTCGCTCAAGCCCGTCCTGTCGCAGATCCACCTACCGACCCGACGGAAGCATGGCTTGAATGAGAGGGTCGCGTCTTCGTCTGCCGGTGGCGGCGGTGGCAGACCCGCCTCTTCGGCAGACGTCACCGCGCGCCTCGATGCCTCGTGGGTCCGGTAGCGGAGTCTCGGTGGTGGTGTCTTGTCCAGTAGGTTGCGAGCGGGGTCTCCCGGAGGTAGACGGACTATGCGCGCGTACTCGCCGGCTGCTAGCTCCTTGGCACGGAGTGATAGCGGAGGGAGGCCTGCCTCCGCCACCAGGGTCTCCTTATCCGTGAGCTTGATGCAGCCGGTAATCAGGCGCGCACATTTCCGCTGCTCTACCTCCAGGCGCTCGCGGACAGCCGGTGCCGCATGGGTGAAGTAGATGGCCGCCCCGTAGTCGAAGAGGGAGCTCACGTAGCTCTTGTAGGCGATGCGGAGTGTGCTACGGTGGCTTCCGTAGCTCCTTCCGGCGATCGCTGATAGACAAGCACGGCGTTTTGCCATCTTCTCTCTAAGGGCGGCGATGTGGGCGGCGAAGGTCAGCTGACAGTCCAACTTCAGGCCGAGGAAGGTGGGCGTCTCCTCGTAGCCTAGCGGATGGTCGCAGAAGCTGAGCTGGGGCTTGACCTTGCCGCCGCACTCCTTGGGGTCCAGCGTGAAGGTGGTCATCACGCACTTGGATGGACTAGGTTGGACCTTCCAAGTCTTCACCCAGCGGCTGACCTCGTCCAGGACCGGTTGGAGTCTGTCCGCACACTCCTGCAGAGAGCGGCCCGTCGCGAGAAGGGTCACATCATCCGCGAAGAGGGAGACTGTTGGGCTCGAGTCTCCGGCCCGGAGTTGGTCGTCGATGTCGTTGCAGTAGATGAGCCAGAGGAGAGGGGCGAGCACGCTGCCCTGCGGCAGGCCCTCCTGGAAGATTCGCCACCGGGAGGCTGACGTACCCCATCTCACTCTAGCGCGCCGGTCGCTGAGTAGGGCCCTGATCCAGCGTGTGGCGCAACCCGGCACACCCAGTCGCCGCATCTTAGCGTACAGCGCATCCCGCCACACCCGGTCGTACGCTCGCGCGTAGTCCAGGAGGACGAGGATGGCTCGCAGCGGTTTCTTGGACTCGAAACCGTCAAAGATGGTCTGGGTGACTCGGGCTAGCTGGTCCAGTGTAGAGTGGCCCCTCCGAAAACCGGCCTGGTTTCGGTTCAGCTTTCCGGCGCTTTCGAGCCAGTGGTGGAGGCGATGCTGCACGAGTCGTTCAGCGAGCTTTCCGATACAGCTTAGCAAGCTGATCGGTCTGTAGCTGCCGGTCTCGTTAGGCGGTTTCCCTTTCTTGGGAATAGCGACTATTTCCGCCGCCCTCCATGACGCGGGAACCTCCCCGGTGCGCCAGCTCCAGTTCAGCACCTCCAGCAGATGGCGTTCCGCTGAAGGGCTGAGTTGGTGGAGCATGTCGTTGGTCACTTGATCGACCCCGGTGCTGCGTCCCTTCCGCAGTTTCCTGATGCCGAGCAGGAGCTCTCTGCGGGAGAAGGGCGAGCAGAAGGCGTCGCGACTGCCGTTGCAGCACGTCTGGCTCGTGGCTCGTCTAGCCTCGATCTTGATGGAATGATCTGAGGTCTTGTCCAAGTGGCTTCTCCGGCACCTGATCCGGCGGTATCTTCGGTTTCGTAGTCGGCGACGTTGTCGGGTTCTTCTCTCGGGGGGGGGGGGGGTCCCCGTCGGGGCCGCCGCCTCCCCTCCCGCCGGCGCTATCGGGAGGGGGCGTGGCCCGGTGGTTAATTACTTATTGGGCCGGTGGCCGCGGCGCTCTGCGCGCTGCGGCTTCCCGGCCCGGACGGATGTCGTGAAGTGAAGAGTCGAGAAGTCTTGGAGGAGGTCCGGGAGAGCAGCGGTGACGGCGGGAGGCCGCCCCCGCCACCCCCCGGAGAGGGCACGATGACTCCCGTTTGGCGACCCGCAGCCGGAGTCGGCCGGCCGCGGGCAGGCCCGAAGGCCAACGCCCCCCACCACTGGACGGCGGGAGTCTCCAGGGGCCGGGAGTCTTTGGGGGCGGCGCCCCGTTAGTCGCCGCCCCCAAAGGCGTTGTACTGGTCTTGTAGGTTCTGTAGAAAATGTGGCATCACCTTGGCCACAATCGATACCCTATCCCTGATGATGAGTTAGTGTTTTAGGGCGCACCAGCAACGAGGCTATATGACGCCTATGATACCCTATATACTATCATCTACTATACTATCATCCGTCAGGATTTTTGTGCACGCATCATTAATTGTTGTTTTCTGGCTTTCAGATCTAATTTGATGTTGATTGCTGCGATTTGAAGCACGGAGGAAGATAGAAGGCCCGCCGGTGTTGTTGGGCTCCACGCCGGAAGGACCGCTGGCGAAGTAGCAGAGTTATGTTCAACAAGCTGCCTGGGAGCCTGTGCTATCGGAATAAGGAGCTTGCTGTGAGATTGACGAGTGGCCGAGAACAATACAGCTTCTGTTAAACATAAAAGAGAAAAGACCCACAAAAGGAGGCGGGATTCCAGCAGGATTCCCGAGTTCATCAAGCAGCGTCAAAACGCAACGAGAGGCAACAACCCTACTTACCCTACCCCACCTACCCTACTTACCTTACCCCACCTACCCTACTTGCCCTAACCCACCTAACTTAACCACCCTACCCTACCTACCCATCCCTATCCTAACCTACCCCATCTACCCTACCTTCCCCACACAGCACCACCTTACCCACAACACCCGACCCTCCTACCTACCTTACCTACCCACACTTCACCAACATACCCTGTCTACCCAACCCACCCTACCTACCCAACACTACCCCACCCTACCTAACCCTACCCCACCCCACCTTATCTTATCCCACCCTACCTAACCTTACCCCACCCTACCTACCCTACCCAACTTATCCAACCCTACCCAATTCTACCCTACCTACCCAAGTCTATCTTACCCAAGCCTACCCAGCCCTACCCTACCGACCCGAGCATTCCCTACCCTACCCAACCCTACCAGTACCCAACCATACCTTATCTACCTAACCATACCTTATCCACCCAACTCTACCTTAGTTCACCCAAGCCTACCCAACACCACCGTCCACCATACCTTACGAAGCCTACCCTACCCTACCTTACCTGCCCGTACCCAACCCTTCTTAGCCTTCCCAAGCCTACCTTCCTAAGCCTAACCCTACCTGTGCCTACCCAAGCCTACCCTACCTACCCGAGCCTACCTGTACCCAACTATACTTAATCTACTCAACCCTACCTGAGCCCACCCAACCCCACCCTACTTACCCAACCCTACCTAAGCCTTCCCAAGCCTATCCTACCTAAGCTTACCCAACCCTTCCTAACCTTACCCAAGCCTACCCTACCTACCCTACCCAACCCTACCTGTACCTACCCAAGCTTACCCTACCTACCCGAGCCTACATGTACCCAACTCTACCTAAGCCCACCCAGTCCTACCTAAGCCTTCCAAGCCTACCCTACCTAAGCCTACCCAACCCAACCCAAGCCTACCTTCCCTACCCGAGCCTACCCTACCCTAGCCTACCCCACCTAAGCAACCCTACCCAAGCCTACCCTACCTAGCCAAGCCTAACCTACCTACCCGAGCCTACCCCCTTCCCAACCCTACCTGCCTACCCGAGCCTACCCTACTCAACCCTACCTTATCTACCCAACCTTACCTAAGCCCACCCAACCCTACCTAAGCCCACCTAACCCTATCCAAGCCTACCCTACCTACCCGAGCCTACCCTACCATACCTTACTCAACCATGCCTAAGCTCACCCAAGCCTATCCAACCCTACCCAACCCGAGCCTTCCCTACCCTTAACAACCCTACCTGTACCCAACCACACCTGAACTACCCAATTATACCTTACCTTTCTAACCCTACCTAAGCCCATCCAACCCTATCGAAGCCTACCCAACCCCACCCTACCACCGAAGGCTACCCTACCTACCCACCAACCCTACCTAAGCCAACCCAGCCCTACCTAAGCCTTCCCAAACCTACCCTACCCAACCCTACCTAAGCCTACCCTACTCAACCCTACCTAAGCCTACCCAACCCAACCCAAGCCTACCTTCCCTACCCGAGCCTACCCTACCCTAGCCTACCCAACCTAAGCCTACCCTACCTAGCCAAGCTACCCTTCCCAACCCTACCTGCCTACCCGAGCCTACCCTATTCAGTATTCAACCCTAGCTTATCTACCCAACCCTACCTTACCCTATTCAAGCCTACCCTACCTACCCGAGCCTACCCTACCATACCCTTCTCAACCATACCCAAGCCTACCCAACCCTACCCTACCTACCCGAGCCTTCCCTACCCTAGCCAACCCTACCTGTACCCAACCACACCTTATCTACCCAATTATACCTTACATACCTAACCGTATCCAATCCTACCCAACCCCACCCTACTAACCCAAGCCTACCCTACCCTACCCCTACCTACCCAAGCCTACCCTACCTACCCGAGCCTACCTGTACCCAACTAAACTTAATCTACCCAATCCTACCTACCCGAGCCTACCCTACCTACCCGAGCCTACCCTACCTACCCGAGCCTACCATACCCTACTTAGCCATACCTAAGCTCACCCAACCCTACCCTACCAACCCGAGCCTTCCCTACCCTTTCCAACCCTACCTGTACTCAACCACACCTTATCTGCCAAATTATATCTTATCTAACTCTACCTAAGCCTACCCAACCCTATCCAAGCCTACCCATCCCCACCCTACCTAAGCCTACCCAACCCAAGCCTACCTTCCCTACTCAAGCCTACCCTACCTAAGCCTACCCAAGCCTACCCTACCTAGCCAAGCCTACCCTACCCGTCCCAACCCTTCCTGCCTACCCGAGCCTACCCTATTCAACCCTACCTTATCTACCCAACCTTACCTAAGCCCACCCAACCCTACCTAACCCTACCCAAGCCTACCCTACCTACCCGAGCCTACCCTACCTACCCACCTGTACCCAACCACACCTTATGTACCCAATTATGCCTTACCTACCTAACCCTACCTAAGCCCACCCAACCCTATCCAATCCTACCCAACCCCACCCTACCACCGAAGCCACCCTACCTACCCAAGCTTACCTGTACCCAACTTTACTTTATCTACCCAATCCTACCTTAGCCTACCCAACCCTACCTAAGCCCATCCAAGCCTACCCAAGCCTACCTGTAACCAACTTAACTTTATCTACCCAACCCTACTTAAGCCCACCCAACCCTACCTAAGCCCACCCAACCCTATCCAAGCCTACCCTACCCAGTCAAGCCTACCCTACCTAGCCAAGCGCCTACCCGAGCATACCTGTGCCCAACTTAACTTAATCAACTCAACCCTACCTAAGCCCACTCAACCCTACCCGACCCCACCTACCCTACCCTACCCTACCCTACCCTACCCTACCCTACCCTACCCTACCCTACCCTACCCTACCATACACTACAACCTTGTCTTACCTGGCAAACACTGAAAATTTTTATGAAATAAATTTTTATTAGATTATTTTTTTTATCATTTTAATTTTTTTGATATTTTTTTTTTTGAAAAGGTGGAACGCTTCACGATTTTGCGTGTCATCCTTGCGCTCTTCTCTGTAGGAAGGTCTCCACAGGCTGTGTTCCATTTCGTTCCATTTCGTTCCATTTTCACCGTCGGGTCTGGCGGCGAGCGTGTTCCAAGTACGGCCGGCATGTTCCATTTACGTTCCATTTGTGTTCCATATGCCGCCGTAGCATGGCAGCGCCCGCCCGCGCTTGGAACAAATGGAACCAATTGGAACGTCCCGGCCGCCGGCCACCTGTTTCATTTACGTTCCATAAATGTTCCATATGCGGCCGCCGCGCAGAGGCGCGCCCAGCGTCGGCGGTACCGGAGGCGGTCTCGGTAGTTAGCGCCACCGTCGGTAGTTAGCGCCACCGTCGACTGGCGGCCGCCCGGCGATTGCCGCCGCGGCGCCCGGTGGTAGCTCGCATCAATGGCACGACCGCACGGGCGTTCAATATTGTGCCCACATCGTATATGGTATTATTGACACCGCTAATAAGTTACACCGCTTTATTAGTGCTGTCGCCTAGCAGCGAGATAATAATTCCTTCGTGTCCTTTTTTACTACGCCGTTTGTGCTGCTACTTGTTATTGGAAGCGTGGCTCGGCGATTTGTGTCTCGAGAGACGCTTCCGGTGTGCCACACGGTCCAAAGGGTGGAAAGCTCCAGTTCGTCTTGCGGCTTGAACTAGTTTGGTTGCTGAGTTTTGTCAGTGGTCTCTGTGTAAGATTCGTCGCAAGCCAAGATTGGTATTGGTTGGTCCATTCCTGGCATTGCTTTTGAAGTTTCGGAGGCCCGTTGCTGGCCTCCCTTTCTAGCTCTGGCTGGCCCACTTTGCTGGCCCCTTTCTAAGTTTTGTATATTTATATATATATATATATATATATCTCACCATAGATAACATGCTTAATAACATATAGTAGCATAACATAACATAGTAATATCAACAAAAGTATCCATAAGCAAGTCGTTTTTTCGTCTTTCTGCTGACGTGGGCATTCATCGTCTCAGGTTTATTGTCGTATGTGCGATCTGTAAATGCTGTGACGGCGCAATTAAGTATGTAAGCATATAGTTTTACGTCTTTCTGCTGACGTGGTGATGCATCGTCTCAGGATTTTTGTCGTATGTGCGAAACTGATCGGTCGATTTGTGATCTGGAAGTGTTGTGACGACGCAGTCGGCAATGCGCGAAAGTGTCGCCAAGGCCGATGTGATGTGTTTTGCTATGGCGCCACTTGCTGATATGTTTCAAAATAATACAGGAACCACACGCGTGCGTAGACACGTGTGGGCGTTCGCCACTACCCAGCATCGGTTTTTCCCATTCACCTAGTCCCAAGGTGCCGCCGTCTTCTAGTTCCACCTCCCGACCGAATATTACCGTTTGTCCGACTCGACTCGACGCGGCCGCCCGGCGATTGCCGCCGCGGCGCCCGGTGGTAGCTCGCACGGGTAATCAATGGCACGACCGCACGGGCGTTCAATATTGTGCCCACATCGTATATGGTATTATTGACGCCGCTAATAAGTTACACCGCTTTATTAGTGCTGTCGCCTAGCAGCGAGATAATAATTCCTTCGTGTCCTTTTTTACTACGCCGTTTGTGCTGCTACTTGTTATTGGAAGCGTGGCTCGGCGATTTGTGTCTCGAGAGACGCTTCCGGTGTGCCACACGGTCCAAAGGGTGGAAAGCTCCAGTTCGTCTTGCGGCTTGAACTAGTTTGGTTGCTGAGTTTTGTCAGTGGTCTCTGTGTAAGATTCGTCGCAAGCCAAGATTGGTATTGGTTGGTCCATTCCTGGCATTGCTTTTGAAGTTTCGGAGGCCCGTTGCTGGCCTCCCTTTCTAGCTCTGGCTGGCCCACTTTGCTGGCCCCTTTCTAAGTTTTGTATATTTATATATATATATATATATATATATATATCTCACCATAGATAACATGCTTAATAACATATAGTAGCATAACATAACATAGTAATATCAACAAAAGTATCCATAAGCAAGTCGTTTTTCGTCTTTCTGCTGACGTGGGCATTCATCGTCTCAGGTTTATTGTCGTATGTGCGATCTGTAAATGCTGTGACGGCGCAATTAAGTATGTAAGCATATAGTTTTACGTCTTTCTGCTGACGTGGTGATGCATCGTCTCAGGATTTTTGTCGTATGTGCGAAACTGATCGGTCGATTTGTGATCTGGAAGTGTTGTGACGACGCAGTCGGCAA